CTTTGTAGTCTGACTGTACTCAATTTATAAGTAGAGGGTCTATTTACAATTTTAAATCATGTGTTTGTATTTTAAAATGGATGTACCGCCCACATTCTGATAATTTTGGACTGTTTACCGACATGATTGTTGACACCTGACTGTTCGGTGTTCCGAACTTCGGTTGTATATATATTTTAGATATGTAGAAGTCTGACTTCCGTGCTGTCAGTCTGTCAGTGCTACTGTTATAGCGACATATCAACTAGATGTTAAATACTTCTTGCTGCGGACAAGTAGGACGCCAAAACTGACTTGTAGGTCGCGTTTAGGTTGTTGTTTGGCGGCTGCACCGCGTAGTTTTAACATTAACGCACAGCCGAAACGTGCTCGAGGGTCACAGGGGTGAGCCTCTTGGAGGAATGTTTAAGCAGGTGTGCGTAGCTTGTCGTTGTCACCAAGTGTTCGAATGCGGATGTCGCCAGCCCAAAGAAGAGCGTCCTCGCAGCCCGGGCGGGGCAATCCCGAATCTAAGAGAAGTAGACGAATAAGACCGTTCAGAGTGTCGTGGGTGTAAGATTCGGTCTATCAAGGCGATAGTAATGTCTTAGAGTAATTAAACGCTTAGGTTAAGTCTAAGTATAGTTAAATTCGAAATAAATTAACGAAATGTGTCTTTTTTAGTAAAGTTAGGTATGCCTCGTGAAAACAGCAATACTCTGAGTGATTGTGAGGCTGAGACATTGCCTATATATAATCCTCTCAGTACTGTTTTCGCCGAAGGGATTTTATTTAGTGTTTCGTTGTCGCTCTATTAGAAACTATGGTATGTTTCGTTGGGGCGAATCCGAGAGACTCATAAAATCCTATCTTTAGAAAAAAAGAATAGAAAAAAAGAAGAAGAAAACTCTTGATGTTCATAGTTATAGCATTAACCAATAACTTGCCACTTTTCAAGAATTACCGACTTAGGGATAATATTATTTATTACCTTCATCAGACTGGCATATCTGGTTGGCTGAACGGAGGTTAAACTAGGTAACCCTAATAGTCCCTAGAAACCTATATTCGGTTGAGCCATCTCGCTACCGAAGTATTCAGATATAAATAGATTTGGAAGTTAACATAGTTCTATTAATAGAACTAGTCCAAATCATATCTTTGGCATTTTAATCTGGCCTTTTAATGGCCTTATCCAAATATCTGATATGTAAAATGGAAAAGGTGTTTAATTAATAAAAACCGTTAAAAACCATTTTAGGAAACTTAAGTTCCTCGTACTATTAAGAGTACGTTTATAGTTTACGTACTGCTTAAGAGTACGTTTATAACATAGAGTCTAATGTGGAGGCCCGGCTATTACATGGGGACGCTCGACTTACGCATTCTGGGACGGAGAATATGGGTGAGGGCAACGTAGTTGCATGCGACGTGTGAGAAGCATATTTTTCAATTCCTGGCTATGAAACGAGCGGTCGTTGTCTACAGTGAGCGTATTCGGGGCCCAGAATGGATGAACGTATTTGAAGAGGAAATCAACGTTTCTGAACATAGCCTGTTTGTTGGGAAGAGCGGTGTGGAGGCCGAAACGGGTTCCTGCATCAAACATATTGAGTATGTATATATTTTGTACCTGTTAGGAGGAACGGGTCTCTGGAGGTCAGTATGTAGTCGTTTGCTTGGTCCACAGACGGTATCAGCTGATTGATGAAGGATGCCTGTAGCTTCCCTCTTGCCCTCTACGCATGTGTGACAGTGTTTGGCAAATTCCGGATTTGCCTTTGCGTAAATGATAGCGAGGGTGAAATCGTGGCCAGGTGTGACATGGTAGTGGAGAGGGCCGAGGATAGCGACGACGGTGAAAACCAAGGATGGCTTGCCGACAGAGGTCATGGCATGGCGGGAATATGTAGTGGCCGTGTTTTGGACGAGGAACGGCTGGCTCTGAATATGTGCCATAAATACGGGCTACCGAGGTGCTGCCGGGCGCAAAAGGGCGACCATGACGAGGGTACTGTCGGGTTTAGTGTTGGCAGCGATGATGTCTTTTATGAGGAGACAAACGTAGTCGAGTTCCAAAAGTAAATTGATGTCGGACCAGTCGAGGGCGATACCGCCGCCCTCAGGTGAAACAAACCGTGGAAACTGAGCGGTGGCCTTGAATGCACATAGATCAAGATTGTGTTTAACGCCTAAGAAAGTGAGGCCGTCAGAAAGTATGGACGAGTTAAGCATTCGTTCTGTAGTCATCACTTAGAGTGGAGGAGGATATGTATGAGTAATATTTTCATGTGTGGCCATGCGGAGTGTGACACGACGACTACGATGACCGGATGATCGGTGATAAGAATCGTATGTCATAGTGCGAGACAATTCCATCGGGGGTATCCACGCTTTTAGTAGTAGCAACGTTGTCATTCCCAGTTGTAGGAGGTTTCACCGGTTTGAATTTTAGCTTCGTCTGATTGCTATCAACTTTTTTATTCTCTTCTTTGCCCGTGTTGTTAGCTCCGCCTGAGCCTGCTAGACGACGGCTGCCATCGTTGTTGAAGCTTTTTCGCTTGCCGCCCGCCGTGTACAAAGACCCGCTCATATTACACTCGTTCTAAACGCTTACGGACGCGTATATAGCTCAAACGACCCCAGTACAAAGCAAAACCTGGTATATGTTGTTGTTTACTGTTATCTGATAAGTTGTATATGCCGAAAACACACGTTTTGGACAAGACCCTCTTGAAGGCCCTCGTGAATAGACCATTCGGGCCTCTTTTTTCCTTTTCGCTTTCTTCATTTTCAAAAAAAAGTGCCGGCAGGGCACTTTTAAAAAATCGAGAGCCTGAGAGTCTGAGAGGCCGAGTCTAATCGGTTATAGCAAATTTTCGTAATAGTATCAATAATAGGGCAAATTAAGGCTGAAAATTGTCAAAATGACTCAGAAGGTGTCCTATTCGAGATTTCAGACTCAATTGCACCAAAGTAGCTAACGTAAATCTCGACATTTCCCGCCAAAGTACAGACTATTTATAAACCTACTCTAAAAGTGCGTAGCTTTCAAAAATTCATATGCATGTTATAATTTATCATAGAAAAGTGTCTAATAAATGTATACTACTTCTAATATATACAACCGTTGTTCTTTTGTGATACAATATGGACGAGGAACTTCCCATTTTCTACACACGCCGAGCAGCATTGAGACAGCGATTGGCTAATGCCATCAATGAGGATACATACAGTGCTAGTGATGTGCTTAGCAATATTTTGCGTACAACGGAGGATAGTGGCATCAACACAAGTAGTATTGATAAGGAGGAGGATAGTGAATCAAGTAGTGACGAAGACTCCGAAAGTGAGGATAATACTACAACCGCTATGATAATAACTACAATATTAACGGTACTAACAAACGTCATTCCTGTTCTAGAACAATCAAATATTGTGCCTAGAGGATCACTTGTGTATCGTTTTGGGCCATTGTTCGATGAGATCGCTGGGCACATGCTACAAATGAACTCCTTCCATGTTGACATGCGCATGAGCTTACCTCAGTTTTTAATTTTAAAACAAGCTATCACACCTATGTGTGAACGTGATGAAGTCATGGGAAGCCTGAGGAACGGAAGCATCGACGTTGGGGTTCGATTAGCTACTTCACGTATGCTAGCGGGGAGCCAAGTAGCAGATCTCAAGTGCACACATGTAAAGCACAAAAGTACTGTATATGCAATATTTAAACGAGTAGTGCGTGCAATCAACGAGGTCAGTAATCTGGATGCACTGAGAATACGCTTTTCTACTACCACACAAGAGTGCAAGGAGATAGCCGAAGGATTCAGGCAACGACCAACGTTTGGAGTCATTGCTTACTGGGTAGGAGCACTAGATGGACTTTTTCGTTTATTCTCTGGCCATAAGATGGCCCTTGGAGTGAATTGCCAAGAGCAGTTGCTTGTTCATCTTTTGGCTCCGTACATGACAAGTGTGCCTTAGAGGCCTGTGGCTTTTTAGATCTGATTCGGACGCTGCCTCGACCATATTATGTAGTAGGTGATAATGTGTACACGGGTGACTAATTCATGCTTGTTCCTTCTCCAGGGAGAAACCTGGGCGAATACTGGGATGCCTTTAATTTCTTTCAATCCCAAACGCGTATGCATATTGAGCAAGCGTTTGGGATATTTGTAAGAAAGTGGGGTATCCTATGGAAGCCGATACAATTTAGCTTTGTATTTGTTCCTGAGCTACTTATGTGCCTAGCTAAATTACATAATTATTGTATCGGTTTTGACGATGTAGAAGGACAGGGTTATCTTGACATCTCAAAAACTGAGTTTAATAATGCATGTATTGGCGTGAGTGATATATTTGAAGGCGCAGAAGTAATACATTTAGATCAGAGTATAGAGTTTCAAACAAAAGATAGAGCGGGACTATTACAGAGGAATATTACCAGCGTGTGAGGGGTTTTCAGACATACTGTTTGAGTGGAGACCTTACAGAAACAGACAAACCAGTCATACGTGATGATATAGATTTGAAAAACAAACAAGATGCGGCCTTAGTGTCCAAGTCTGCTACACTACCTCTTATGACACGTATAGCAGGTGACGTGGAGGAAAGAGGATTGAGAAGGCCAGACTGGAATGTGCGAAGAAATCCGACACACAGAAGGCAAGATACAAACAAACAAGACATATATATAATGTCAAATACAAAGAATGTACACAAATATAGACAAAGGTAATAGAGCGATTGATGATGAAAGCATTTTTTTTAGTCATTTCTTTTTATTATTGTTCATTTACATGATATCTAAATATTGCTGTTGTTGTTGTAGCTCGCTTTGTATAATCATCATCATATAAATATATTCATATGTACGAGTGCGTGGTCATCATGTACAAATACATAGCTACGACTCGCTTTGCATATTCATCATATATTTATATGTGCTTGAAGCATGTACTTTTTAATGCTGGATATATATTTAATATTATATGTACGTACAAGGCTGTTGTTATTGTACTGAACACGTCATAAAAATATATTCATATGTACGAGTGTGTGGTGCGTCATCATGTACAAATACGTAGACACGACTCGCTTTACATAATCATCATACATTTAATATTATATGTACATACAACTGTAGAAATACGGCCTCCGGTTAGTCTAAAATATCAAGATCAAATGAGATAACACATTGGTTTTTATTTGTATTTATAAAAAAAATATACAAGTTCTTTTTCCAATATTTCCAAAGTGTTCTACATTCACTTTGATGGCTCCAATAGCCTGAGTGTATGACTCACTTACTTGGACCTATTTGAGACAAAAGTGGATGTAGGATATTATAAACTAAATTTTATAATCTCAGAACTACTACTTACAAGTTTTGGTCTTCCAGCCAATCTCCAAAATCCAATAGGTCTTTTTCCTTTTATAACTTTTCTTCAGATGGAACTTTATTTATATTAGCTAATGTATTAACATGACTTACGTTCTTATGTCTATCTACAAATTAGCCATGTGGTCAAACAATTAGTACTTCTAGTGAAAACTATTCAATAAAGAACAGCTAGAGGTATGTCCTGTGTGATCGATGATATTAAGACTCTTACCAAGAGGCAGTCCCGATCATTCTTACACAAGCTACCACTGCTAAATCCTAACTGACCTAAATTGTATCATAGTTTATATAACATAGTTTGAAACATAGAAATATCCATCGAAGTTTACACAACATACGATGTAATTTATACGCGCTTACACCCTTAAGATTGTCTCATCAGTCCAATGCATACAATTC